TTTCCACACACACACACACAAACACGATTCATGTTGTTCGAAAAAGGTTTTTTTTTTTTTTTGACATCACATGGAAGTACGCACACGCACACACGCACACATTTCGTATGATTAATTCATTTAATGTCATTTCCTCTTCCTTTTTGTTCCCTCCTCTTTCCCGCCCCCCGCTCCGCTCTCCCCATTTTTTTCGGTAAAAAAAACGTCCGAAAAGTTTTTAACCGTTTATTATTTCATCAAAGTTGCACGAGGCAATCCCTTTTTTTAAATTACGTAACGCTCGTGGAAATTTTTTTTTTTTTTGCTATGCATCATGGGAAATAAATGACATTTTTTTTTACGTACTCGAAAAACATGTGCAATTGTTGTGTTTGTTGTTGTTGTTGTTGTTGTTGGTTGTTTCATTTACCAATGTAAAAAAAATTAAATGTGGAATCCTTGGAGAATATTTTATTGCGTGAAATTTTTTTTCGAGAATTTGTCCGTGAATAAATTGCAATATTTCATTCTTTGTAAGAATCGAGGCATGTTTGTTTGTTTGTTTGTTTGTTAAGTTTGTTGTTAATATCTCTATTATTGCATTAACCCGCCTTTTTTTATTATTATTTCTTCTTCGGTGTCATAAAGAAAGAGAAGAGAATTTATTTTTATTACTTGTAATTTTTTTAAAGTTGGCAAAACCTTGAAATCCATTTTTTTTTTTTTTTGTTTTTAGGTTTTTCGATCGAAATAATAATAATGATAATAATAAGTTTGTCGGTCGAATGTAATTTAAGAATTGAAACTAATATAAAACTGATTAACCTTAGTTGCTTTACTTGCACATTTAATTTGAACTCATTTTCTTTTGTGAACGGGTTTTTTTTTTTTTAAATAAATAAATAGAAAAATTTTTTTTTTCGTAATAATTTCTTGCGAAAAATTGCGAATTAAATTTTTTTTTTTTCGAAAGCTTATAGACGCAACGGTCGATTATCAAACAAAACATTTAATGTTATCATACGGGAGGGGGAGGGGGAGGGGGGAGGAGAGGGGAAAAAAGGTGCAACAATAAAAGAAATAAATTTATTATGATATAGAGATATGATAAATTGATTTATCGCCATTTTTTTTTTTTGCGTAATTATCCGTGTATTTATTTATTTATTTATTTTTTTTTTTTTTTGGAAATTTCGGAACGATAAATAATTTGTCCGGTCAATAAGAGGTCACGCATGTCGGCATGGCTTTGACCAGATGATTTTAAACATGTGTGAACAACTATCATCGTCCTTGCCCTTTGAAAAGAGAATTAATTTTTTTTTTTTTCGCAACCAAATGATTTTTGATGCCACCACCGTGGTCGTCATCAAGACTTTCCAAACGTGGAGAAAACTCATGTTTTAAATTTTTATTTTGTTTTTTTTCCCCTCCCACCACTCCCTTTTAAATGGAAATTTAAAGATGGCGTTCGCAAATTTTCTTTTTTTTTTTTTTTGCATGCGAGAGTCGATGTGTGGAGACGGACATAGTTTTAAAAAATTCTTCTAACGGATTTTATATGTTGTTTTAATATGAGAGATGATGTCCAAAAGTGATATTTTTCTGACATTGGCATTGAACGTGTTAGAGAGAGAGAGAGAGAGAGAAGGAGAGAGAAACGAACGTTGGAGCCAGAAACGTTTTTATTGTCTGTGTGTCCGCCTACGAGTTTTCGTCATTTTTTAGTTTATTTAAATTTTTTTTTTATCGCAAGCTTATTTTATCATCATCATCATCATTATTAGTGTTTTTATATTCAAAAGTTGGTATTTTAAAATTTAAAAAAAAAAAAAAAAGTTATTTTCTTACATCTTTGTTTCCTCGTCTCGTATTTATATTCACGACCTAAATTGAAACTTTTCTATCGTAAAAAAAAAAATTAATTTAAAAGAAACAAAAGCAAACGTAAACAAACGAAAACAAACAAGAAAGCTCAAAGTTTTGGCAAAAGAAAAAAAATTAACTTATTTGAATGATTTTTCTAATAAGTGGTGTAAAATGCAAACGGATAATGATTTGAAAAGAAGGATAATAATAATAAAAAAAAAGCATTTTCACAAAACAAACAAACTTTCATAACAACAACAACAAATAAAATTACTCAACGAAACATTTTTTTTGGACAAAGTCGTAGTAGTGAAATTTCAACTCGATTAAAAAAAAACCTGTTTCGATGTAATATCTTTCTTTCTTTCTTTCTTAACGTGGAAGTTGCAAAAAGAAAAGAAATAGGAAAAAAAAATTATAAGGAAAGGGAAATAAATGTTTGTGATACGACGAGGGATTACGAAAACAAACATTAATAATAGTAATAATAATAATAATAATAAATTGTCGTGGAATTAACTCAAACGGGAAATAAATTCTTCTCTCTCTCTCTCTTTTCATCTCTTGCGATAGAAACTCATTCACTCACTCACTCACTCATTCCTGGTAGGTATTGCGAGCCTCGAATAATCTATGTCATAAGGATATCGTAACCTTAGTCTCGGATTGCTTAACCCGATTATGTTTAAAACCTCTATGCTCTCTCTCTGTCTCTCTCTCTCTTTTTTCTCTCTCTCCTCCCTCTCACCTTTCATTAGAATATCATTTCATTCTTTATTTGTATAGGTGATCTCATTAACATCGGGTCATTGTTGAAAAAGTTGTTCAACCTTGCTTGCGCCTTTTTGTTTAAAAAAAAAAAGAGGGGTCCATAAAAAACCGTGGTGCGGGGGAGAGAGAGGAGGAGAAGGAGGGGAGGGGTATCTCTCTCGTAATGTTAAGATAAGAAAAGCTTTTGCTTCTTTTTTTCGTTTTTTTTTTTTTTTGAGGTTCATTTGCGAAATTTCGTCATTAATAAATGAAAATATTTGTTAACCGCCCTTGTAAAAAAAAAAAAAATTCAATTCGATATTGCGTGATGTATCCCCGCCGGGACATAGGAGGAGGAGAGGGAGGGAGGGGATACACCTTTGTTCATCCGAAATCATATTATCAATCGATTATTTAAATTGTTTCAAAATTAATAATGATAATGTAATTATTTTTATGGAATAATAATATTATTATTATTATTATTATTTTTGATTTGCGTACAATGCAAAGGTAAAATGATAATGATGATAATAATAATAATACTATCACGTTCGAAAATGAGTTCGATTAATTCTTTCTAAAGGTGGGCGATTTGACCTTTTTTTCTTTTTTTTTTTTTTTGTCTCGTTATTAATAACGTGAACTTACAACAAACGCGGTTATATTTCGGTCATTTTCTTTTAGTTATTTCGCATATTAAAATAATAATAATGATAATAATAATAATGATTTCGTCACCCGCACAAATGAATTGATAAAAGAAAATAATAATAATAATAATATGTAAATGATATAATATTTTAAGGTCTTTTGTGTTCAATGACGTTGAAATTGAAAAAAGTCACAAATTTGATTGTTGTTTGTTGTTGTGTTTTTTTTTTTGGGGGGGGCGTGGCTGTTGGTCCGATTTATTTATTAAAAAAAAAAATCATCTGAGAAAAGTCGATAGAAAAAAAATTAGATATTAGGAAAGGTTTTTTAATTGACTGATAATTAATCGTTTGTTTCCTTGCTCGCTCGGGGAGCTAACGATTCAAGGTTTTTTTTTTTTAAGGTGGTAACACTGCCACCGCCGCCACCACCACCACCACGCGCACAAATGAAAATTGTTAATTTGCAAAATTTCACAATACTCACGAACAAAGCCTAATGATTGGCTTTGGCGTACGTGTAAAAAAATATGTTTGTGTGTATGTGCGTGTGTGCGTGTATTATATGTGTATAAGCTTTTTTTGTTTTTGGCGTGCGTTTGACATTAAATGAAATTAATAATTTACTGTTTACGTTATTAGTTTTTTTTTTTTTTTTTTTTTTAAATTTTTAATTTTTAGTCGAATATTAAATTACAAAATTAATGTAAAAAAAAGGAAAAAAATTGCGAATCAAGGAAAAATTTTTGGTTGCGCGCGCGTGAGCTCAAAACAATGACAACAAAACATAAACAAATAAAAATGTTGAATTTTTTTAAAAATTGATTTTCCTCCTCCCCTCTCATCCCCTCCTTCTCTCCCTCTCCTTCTTCTCCTCCCTTCGGGGAGAAAAGAGAAAGAAGAGGGGATTCAGGTATTTGATTCGATTTCTTTTTTTTTTTTTTTCCTTCTTTATCCACGACATTTTTTTTTTTTTTTTTTTTTTTTGTATTTAAATTTTTCTATTCTAATAATTTCGATTTGGGTTTTTGTTTTGTTTTCCCTCTCCCCGCCTCCCCATTCCGACGGAAACATGATACCTGATTACGTGATACTTCTTACTTTGTCCTTACTTACTAATTTTTTTATTTTTTGTTATTTCCGTAAACAAAAATTGGCCACGGTAGAATGATAAATAAAATGAATAAAAAAAAGTGTGTTTGTTTGTTTGTGTTTGTTGTTGTTGTTGTTGTTTTACGCAACAACAAATATAATCCTCGTGTCGCACGGATTTAAAAAAAAAATTATAAATATAAATATGAGATTTTGCAATTTTTTTTGTTGTTGTTCTTCTTCTTCTTCATATTGTATCTATCTATCTATCTATCTATCTTTTTTTTTTAAGGAAGAATAAACGTTTAAAATAAGTTTGTAATAATAATGATAATGATAATGATAAATGAGTAGTAGATGTTGTAAAAAAAAAGTTATTGATAATTTTTTAAAGCGAATTATTTAATAAATTATTATTATTATTATTATTATTATTATTATTATTATTATTTGACAAATTATGTTTTTCTTTTATTTTTTTGACGGGAAGGGCTTTATTATTTAACGACAGGATGTTCATTTTCAACCATTGTTTGCTTCCTTTCGACAAGGCGTTGCGACAAAAGTTGCAAAATTTTTTATTTTCCAATTTTCCTCTCGATTTTCATCATTACAAAAAGAAAAAAATTATTATTATTATTTTAAAATGTTACCTCCATGTGTGACCTATTATTTTTTTTTGAGTGGGTGACGACGACGACGACGACGACGACTAGTAGCAAAGACAAGTTGCAAAATTATATTTTTTTTTTTTTTTTTTACTTTTATAGAAGTGCAACTAGGTATAAAAGGCAGGTATGCCAACAAAACAAAAATAAAAGCAAACAAACACAATCAGGTGTTGTATATGTGAAATTGTAATCCCGACGGTTGTTGCTTTAACTTTAATTTTTTCCGTTTTTTGTTTTAGAACGCATATCAAATTGGAAACGCTTGAAGATGCCGTCGTTTTAGACAATCCTGAAGATGACATGTTGCACGATAAAAGAGGTTGTCCCGCATATGTCAGCCCCGAAATATTGAGGAGTCACGTTCCTTACAGTGGTAAAGCAGCCGATATGTGGAGTTTAGGAGTTATTTTATTCACTATGCTCGTAGGACGGTGAGTGATTATATGCAAAAAAAAAAAATTTCGAACAATTTAAACGACGTACGACGGATGTCAAAATTTTAAATCAGTCACGCCAAAATGATTTGAATTCTAATAATAATAATAATAATAATAATAATAATAATTGGGGAGTTTGTCAACGTTGATGAGAGATGAAATCGAAAGAAAATGAGGAAAAAATAAATTTATTATTAATAATAAGCGAATTCGAAAGCGTGACGTGACGTGACGTGATGTTTGTTCTCTTGTATCACTCGAATTTTTTTTTTTTTTTTTTTTTTGTTTGTTTATGTGAACGAGTTTACCGTGTAATTTCAATCATCACGTTCTGAACAATAATAATAATAATAATAATAATAATAATAATAATAATAATAATAATAATAATAATAATAATAATCGGTGGGAGGGGAGGGAGAGAGAGAGAGAGAAAGAAACTGTTAAAATGTTTTTTTTGAATTTGTCGTATCATTACATTAAATTTTTTTTTTTTTAAATGTTTATTATTATTATTATTATTATTATTATTATTGGTTTCAATATTGTGATTGTTATTATTATTATTATTATTATTATTATTATTATTATTATTATTATTAATCATCATTTGAAAAAGTCATAAAAACTGTCAAAAATCAATTAATTAATTACCGAAACGTAATTAAGATATACAAATATTACGCGGTCGTTTCGTCGTTGCATAAAAACATTTTGTTTGTTGACATTTATTCACCAATTTATGATTCTTGCCCGTCTGTGTCTCACGTTTGTGTTTGTTTGTTTGTCTCCCGGACATTGTTTACGGTGGTGACACGCCGCGTTTATGCGCGACGTTTGTTACAAATGACGCTCGTTACGCGCCCGGTTTTTCGTTCCGAAGTTTTTAACGTTGAGCAAACAAAATTTGTTAATACTTTGTCAAAATCTGGACCATAAATTTTAATCGTGCAATATTTGAAAATTGAAGAAATTTTTTCTCTCTCTCTCTCTCTCACACTCTCTCTCTCTTTCTCTCTCTCTCTCTCTCTCTCTCTCTCTCTCTCTCTCTCTCTTTGACGTAAAAATAATTTTTATTGGATGCTCAAGGTTAACGTTAACTCTTGTTGAAATGAAACGCAATCGAAAGAAAATGTTTTTTTTTTTTTTCCCCTCCCGAATAGTCGTCAATATTAATAATAATAATAATAATAATAAATGTTGAGTTGTTTTATGTTTTTCGGTTGCTGTTGGTTGTTGTCGAATGTTTGGTGACTTGTGAAAACACATCAGTACGGTTTGTTTAAGCTCAATGATTTTTGGAGGTAACAAACACAACAAACACGACGTGTGACACACAAATCGTGATGATTAACGGGTAATTTTCGAATTTAAAAAAAAAAAAATTTCCTGACTTGGAGTCACGCTCACGACTCGTCGTCAATTGAATGTTGTTGGGTGGGTGGGGATGGGGGGAAGGAAAAATTTTTTTTGCGTGACGTTTTTTTTTTTTTTTGTGCGTCACGAAAATTTTTTTTTTACGTTTTTAATTTTTTCTTCTTTCCTTGTGTTCAATAGGTATCCCTTCAGCGATTTAGATCACACAAATTTATTTAAGAAAATTAGCCGAGGAAATTTCAACATACCCGACACGGTTTCAAACAAAGCAAAATGTTTAATAAGGAATTTAATGAGACGAGAACCGAGGGAAAGGATAAGTTCCGAAGATGTTCTCCTACATCCTTGGGTCGTTCAAGACGACGAGGAAACGGAAATCGCCCAGAGGACTGATCAGGTCGTTCCAAACATTGATTAATTACAAAAAAAAAGAAAAAGAAAAATGAACGACGACGATTCGGTGGTAGAAAAAGAAGAAGAAGAAGGAAAATTGGTGTGACACGTTCAAAGTTATTATCATCATCATCATCGCCATCGCCACCATCATCGTCATCGTCATTACGTCATAGTCGATTATTTTTTGTTCTGTTATTATTTACTTTTTTTTTTTTTTTTTTGTTTAAAATCCTTATGAAAAATCATCATCCCCGTTTGTTGTTTAATTTTTTATTTTTTTTGTTGTTTGCACGGAGAAAGTTTGTTTGTTTGTATGCGTTGCGGTTGTCGTTGTTGTTGTTGTTGTTGTTAGTGTTGAGTAAACAAAAAGAAAATTTTTACAATTTTTTTTGGTTGGAAAAGATTTTTTTTACGACGAGGGAGGAGGAGTTTTTTTTTCTTATTCTCTTGCGATAGAATTTCGGGGATTCCCCGCCCTCGTTCCCGCCCCCGCCTCGTTCCCTCCCGATTTCCTCTCTGGAGGAGAAAAAAATAATTTTCTTCGCGGTTTTTTTTTTGTTATCATTAAAACGCGTGGGATGATAAATTTAGTAACGCGACACATTTTTTTTTATATATATACATTGTTTGTTAAGAAATTATAAGGATTTCATATTTTGGCGCGAACATCATTCAAATTTATTATTATTATTATTATTTTTTTTATTTTAAAAAAATTTTATTTCGAAAGGTTTTATTTAAAAAAAAAAAAAAATTCGTTAAGGTTTTTAGTTGTTGTTTTATTGCGATTTTTTTTTTTTTTAAATGGCGGCGTTTTTTTTTTTTTTTATAAAAGGATTTTTAAATTTTTTTATGCGCGAAAAGTTAAAAATTTTTTCGGCTGTGATATTTGCGAAAGGATCGCGAATCGAACGTACGAATTTTAAAAAATGAATGAATGAAATCGAGACCTTTTTAAGGTTTGCTTTGCACTCACGTGATGCCGGATGCCATTTTCCCCCCGTTGTTGAGTTTTTTTTTTTTTTTTTTTTTAATCCTCTTTTTGCCGGAAACGGAAGGCATAGAGAAATTTTTTTTTTTTTTGTTGATAAATATTTTTAAGGGATGAAAAATAAATAAATAAATAAAAATAAATAAATAAATAAAAAATAATTAATTTATATTAAACGTTTATTTTATTTTATTTTTTTCTGTTAAGGATGATGGCGCGTGTGACGTTTTTTTTTTTTTTTTTAATAATCAATAAATGAAGGAAAAAATTGTTTAATAAATTTTATCATTATTATTATTATTATCATTATTATTATATTATATTTAAATTATTCGATTTCGATAAATAAATACATATTTTTTTTTTTTTTAAAGAAAATTTTTTTATTATTTTTATCGATTGCTTGTTTTTTTTTTTTTGTTTTATTGTTGCCGGATTAATAATAATCAAAAGCGTGCTTTTTTATTATCATTATTATCGTTAAATAATAATAATAATAATAATAATAATAATAATAATAATAATAATAATAATAATAATAAATGTTATTTTCGAATGCATGAGCTTTTTCTCTCTCTTTCTCTCTTTTTCTCTTGTTAAAAAAAATAACTTTGAGATGTTTGTGCCATTTTTTTTTTGTCAGTTTAAGACTAATTAGTTTTAAAAGAAAGAAAGGAAAAAAAAGAAATTAGCTATTATTATTCTTTTAGCATTAAATAGATTGATTGAATGAATGAATGAATGAATGAATGAATGAGTTTTGTGGTTGATGAAAAAAAAAAACTAAAAATGTAAATTATGTGTTTATAAATATTCGTCGTTTGTAAAAATCTACAATCAGACTGTTTGTAATAAAATCAAAATTATTATTATTATTATTATTAAATCGGCCGAACGAATCGTTTCTTAAAAAAAAAAAAACAATCATCGATTAATAATAATAATAATAAAAATAATTTTGTTTGTGCGAAAGAAATATTTAAAAATGAAAATGAAAAAAATTTTCTAAAGCAGAGAAATTAATTATGTTAATTAAATTTAATTAATGTTGAAAGAGTAAACGAGTTGGAAAATAAGAAAATTTTATTTATTAAAAATTGCATTGCGTGACGTCATTAAAATTTTCCGATTCTCTGCTTAGGAAAATTTTTATTGATTATTTTTGCTTAAAAATAAGAAGAAAAAAAAAAAAAATTTTTTTTTTTGTAATTTAGTACAAACTGTACAAATGTATATTTAATAATAATAATAATGAACTGTTCACAAACTATAGTGCTATAATTGTAATTATAATTCTTTTTTTTTTCTCTGTATGATTTTAATGTAAATTTAATATACAATAAATCAATAAATCAATAATAGGTAATGTAAAAAAAAATCAACCCACATAATAATAATAATAATAATATTATTAAAAAAAAAAACATTTTTAATTAATTATTTCCGTTTTATTTTATTTATTTATAACATCTTATAATTTTTTTTTTTTTGTTTATACGAAGATAATAACTAATTAATTAATTCTTTTTTTTTTTTTTTTTAGGCATATTGTCCTACAGCTTCGTTTTGCTTGTTCTCCATTCTTGCTTCTAATTCGGGTCGGAAATGTCGAATGAGACCCTGAAAAGAAAAAACGTGCATGAGAATATTTGTCCTGGTATATGTATACCTGAAACTATGGAAGAAAAAAATGGTTCTTACTTGTACAGGCCACGCGGCTCCATCACCCAACGCGCAAATCGTGTGACCTTCAATTTGCTTGCTGAGTTCCCACAACATGTCGATTTCACCCGGCTCTGCATTTCCAGTTATGAATCTGTGAATTATTTTATTCATCCAATTTATTCCTTCTCTGCAAGGCGTGCATTGACCGCACGATTCGTGCTTGTAAAATTCTATTAAACGCGCTATGGCTTTTACGATGTCGGTTTGCTTATTCATTACTATAACCGCGGCCGTTCCCAAACTCGTCTGAACCGCCACAAGGCCATCGAAATCCATAATTGCTTCCTCGCAGACGCTGCAATCAATAAATGTTTTATTATAAATTTATTCGTTTCGAACGGAGATGTAAAATAAAAACTTACTCTTTAGGTATCAATGGAGTAGATGAACCTCCTGGTATGATGGCTAATAAATTATCCCAGCCTCCGATGACGTCTCCGGCATGAAGTTGAATCAATTCTTTTAATGGTATCGACATTTCTTCTTCTACGGTGCACGGATTATTAACATGACCGGATATATTAAATAATTTAGTGCCGGAATTCCTAGGTCTACCGAAAGAAGCAAACCATGAACCTCCCCTTCTGCAAATGGTTGGAGCGACAGCAACGGTTTCCACGTTAGAGACAGTTGTGGGGCAACCAAAGACCCCAATGTCGGCAGGGAAAGGAGGTTTTAATCTTGGTTTTCCTTGCTTTCCTTCTATCGATTCTATTAATGCTGTTTCTTCACCACAAATGTATGCTCCTGCACCTCTGTGCATAAAAACATCAAAATCATAGCCAGAGTTGCAAGCGTTTTTACCTATCAGGCCTGCCTGATAAGCTTCAGCAATTGCAATTTGCATATTTGAGGCTTCATTATAAAATTCCCCTCTAATGTAAATATATGCAGCTTGAGCACCCATGGCTCGACCAGCTACCAAACAACCTTCGATAAGTTTGTGAGGGTCATTTCGTAGAATTTCTCTATCCTTGCAAGTACCAGGTTCACCTTCATCAGCATTCACAACTAAATATTTAGGTCTTCCATCAGAAGGCTTATTCATAAATCCCCATTTCATTCCGGTTGGAAATCCAGCACCACCTCTGCCTCTTAAACCCGAAATTTTTATTTCATCTACAATAAAAATTTATTAATTAAGTTTAATTATTTACGAATAAAGTAATACCAGGGGGGAAAAAAAAAAAACAAATGTTAAAAATATAAAAGAAATGACCTTTGTAAAATAAGCGACTTACTTATAATCCAATCTGGTCCTTTGTGTAAAATTTCTTTTGTTTTGTACCAATCACCTCTTTTGTAAGCTCCACAAAGTCTCCAATCATGTCGACCATATAAATTTGTAAATATTCTATCATCATCACATAAGGGACCAAATTTAGTCTTTGTTGGAGGAGCTTGAGTAGTGTTATTTCTAGTTTGAGAAGCACAAATGAATTGGCTTGCAGCAGCAACTGCAAAGGATAACAAATGTTACATTTCAGAAGAAGAATAATTAAAGAATCAATAACTTTAAAGTATACAATTAAAATTTAAACTGTATTTTTTAACAAAAGCAAAATAAAGAAATTATGTTTGGAATCTTACCGTGATTTCCCTTAAATATTGAATATCGAGCAATGGTGCCCGCCATTTTGTTGTCTACTGCTAATGAAAGAATTGACGTATATCAGATAAATTAGTAAACCTCTTATCGCAAAATTAAAATGTCTACGTACATTCCTCCAATCAAAAAATTGTCATCTAGAGTAATAAGAATTTTAGGATGTAATCCTGGTCCTATGACACTTCAAGGAACCAACACTTATTTAATTGGAACTGGAAAAAGGTAAGATTTTTTAAAAATATATTACTTTACTTGATTTAACTTCGTTTTTCATTTCAGAAAATAGATTTAAATCAGTGTTGCCAATTGTAAAAAAAAAAAAGTTTTAAAATTTTTTATAACTAAAATTCATACATTTACCGTTAAAAATTTAAAGAAAGAGGTTAGTGAAACTTAAAAATTTTTATAGATATGTAATTTTTAAGTGTTTTTCAAACTTCTTTTAAATTAACAGAACTAATATTTAAAATATTTTAAAAATTAAATTAAATTAAATTTCCATAATTTAGTTTTTGTTAGCTTTCAAATTTTTTTTTTGTCTCGGCGTTATGTGAAAAAATTTTTTTTTCACTCTTTTACCTCCTTTTTTTTTTATATTTTTTTTTGTTAATGTTTTAGAAGGGTTTTATTAGACGCTGGCGATGAAAATGTTGATGAATACATCTCTAACTTGGGACAAGTTTTAAAAGCTGAAAATGCTGTCATTCATAAAATTATTATTACACATTGGCATCACGATCACATTGAGGGAGTGCCAAACGTTATAAAATTAAATGGAAAATGTAATTTGGTTAAATTCAAGAGGCCAGACTTTGAAACTTTATCTTCAAATGATGATTCGATTGAATTTTTAAAGGATGGAGATGTTATTGAAATAGAAGGAGCTAGTTTAAAGTAATTTCATATCAAATATTTCATTAATATTTGTTGAAATTTTTATTTTTACTTTTATTAAAAATGTTTAGGGTGTATCACACTCCGGGCCATACAACTGATCATATTTCTGTCGTGTTGAAAGAAGAAAATGCTTTGTTCAGTGGCGATTGTATTTTGGGAGAGGGAACGACAGTATTTGAAGATTTGTCCGATTACATGACATCTCTAAATGTTATATTAAATCTTAATCCATCTGTTATTTACCCTGGACATGGACCTGAAATAATGGAGCCTATTTCTAAAATAAAATATTACATAGAACATAGAATGCAAAGAGAAAAACAAATCATTGATTTTTTAAGAAGTAAAAATATGAAAGTCACAGCAGAAGAAATTGTTAAAAATATATACGAGGTACAAATCCTTTTTTTTTTTTTTTTGTTAATTTTGTCGTAATGTTTAACATAACCAAAAAAAAAAGGTTGGATTGACATTAATTTTTTTTCATTTTTAGAATATTCCAAAACATTTGATTAAAGCAGCAGAAATTAATGTAAATCATCATTTAAGAAAACTAGAAAAAGAAGGGAAAGTCACTCGTGATGAAAAAGGTTGGATTTTAAAAAAAATTAATTCATCATTGTGAATTCAAATTATTCGGAAACTTTATATTTTTTTTTTTATTTTCGAAACAAAATTTTTTGTTAAAATATGATACATTATTTTATCATAGATTTCAGATTTTTTTTTAAACATCACAGAAATAATAATAAAAATTTTTTAAAATGATGTATTATATTATACAAAATACAATTTTATCGATATTATGTTTTTAATTACTTTTTTAAAAATAATTTTTATATATAACTCTTTTGTTATTAATTATTAATGCCAATATTTTGCCAAATAATTATTTCAGGTGTATAAAAATTATCTCGACCATTACACTATAATATTTTAAGTAGACAGAGATTAAAAAATTTCATAAAAATGAATTCTATCGAATAATGTGTGACACACAATACAAGTTTATCGAGAATTGATCTTGCTTAATAAGAACACTCACTTCGAATGCAGAATGTTAAATTTAAGTTTACCAACACAAACATATCCAAAGTAAGTTTGTTTAATTTTTTTACCTTTTTTTTTTTTTTTAATAGTCAAGGCATAGGTTTTATCATATATTTTTTGAAATTTAATC